TGGTTCTCCAAAACATTTTGTGTCATAAAAACACAGGCCCCGAAAGGCATGACCACTGCAATTTTATTCTCCAAACACTGGGTCGTGGGGCGAAAGCCCTCTGCTCATGTTCAGAGGCGGTCTTTTCTTCTGCTTTCACATCACCGGTTTTGGGGAAATAATTATTCGAGAAATATCCAGCGATATTAGTCTGCAGATCATTGCAAAAATAAACGAATTGTGAGATCTTAAAAACCAAACAAGTTTTATTGGGCAGAAGCTTTCACGGACCACAGACAGGCCATATAAGTTTTTGCCGGATTGAGCCTGCAGAAGGAAGCAAGAGATCTTAGTCTACTGCTGATTTTGATTACCGCTTTAGTGTGGCATTGGTGTGATCCTTCTAAATAATTGTGAACTTACTGTTTTTAGCTCTTAAATATTTATTTATTTTATTAGACTTCTATATGGCCCATCTAGAACATATCTGCTCTGGGCAGTTTATACACACACAAAACAAACAATGAAAATACAAATGTACTAAAAATACAACCCAAATTAACAGCAGAATGCAAGATGAAAAAGAGAAATAGGCTAAGGTGATGGCTGTAGGGAAGGCCTGCCTATACAGCCATGTCTTCAATCGGGTCTTAAAGGCCTCCAGCCAGGGGGCCAGGTGGATCTCTACAGGTAAGTTCTTCCAAAAACAAGGGGCCACTGCCAAGAAGGCCCAATTTACAGGTTTTTCCCCCCTCTTTGGACCTCCCTTGGTGTTAGGCCCCTCAGCCGCCCGGCCTGACTGGTGATACAGGTAGAACTGGGTGGAAGAAGGTGCTCTGCCAGATATCGAGGGCCTAAACCATTTAGGGCTTTATATGTAATAGTCAACACCTTGAAATCGATGTGGAAGCAAATAGGTAACCTCTGCAAGGTGGCCAGGGTGGGAGAAATATGATGGAATCGCCGTAATCTGGACCATTCGGAGCTTCTGCATCAGTCTCAAAGGAAGCCCCACGTAGAGAGCATTACAGTAGTCTATTCTTGAGACCACGAGCACATGGACCAGCGTGGCGAGGGGCCCTGTGTCTAGATAGGGAGGCAGCTGGGCGATCCGCCAGAGATGTAAGTGCGTGGACCGAACCACGGACCCTACCTGGGTCTCCATGGTAAGCGCCGGGTCAAGATGAACCCCCAGTATGCGAACCACACTCTCTGTGGTGAGAGTCACCCCCCCCAAAAAAAGAGGGAGTTCCCCAAACCACTGACATCGGGGCCACCCACCCGCAGGACCTCCATCTTGTCGGGATTTAACCTTAGTCCATTCGAATAGCCAAGGTGGTATTTGAATGATGTAGGCCACCTTGGGTCCTTTTAAGGACAAAAGTGGTGTAAATATTATCTATAAGTAAACAAATACTGAGTATGCCATTTTCTTTGACCAGATGTAAGGAAAAAAACCCAAATCCATACCAATGCAACACTGAGAGCATTGGAAAATTATGTTTTGGTGCTGCAATCTTCCATCAAGCAGAGACCAAAGCTGTCTGGAGGCTGCAGTCCAAAAAAAGTGACTTTTACGATCTCCGATCATTTCATTATTAAGCTAGCCAATCTGTCACTCCATTGTGTGCCAGCTTTGGAGTTAGACAGAATTCTTGATTGGACTAGAGATGGTAAATAAAGCAGGGAGAAGAGAAGGAAAAAAATGCTAAATTTCTGAAGTTGCCCTCTAGTCATAAAGAGAGCTTCAAAATGTTACTGGGGGTGGGGGAATACAATTTCTAGACTTCCCCAGCTATGGGGAGTCTGGGGGTTGTTTTCCTTGTAAGGACTACACAGTGAGTCCCCAGTGCTGCAATCAAGCCTCTGATCACAACCTGAGTTCAATCTTGGTGGACTTAGGTAACCAACTCAAGGCTGAGCTTGGTAAAATGAGTCTCCAGCTTGCTGGCAGGGGGTAGGGGTGGGCTCAAAATGATGTTTGTTTACTTATGTTGTAAACCACCCAGAGGGTGCTCTAGCACTATTTTTATGTATTTATGTATTATTTATTTATTTATTTATTTAAATTTATACCCCACCCATCTCGACACATGTCTACTCTGGGCGGCTAACAATAAAAATAGAATAAAAACAGTATAATAAAATTATACACTACGAGGCGGTCTATAAGTTGAAACAACAACAATAATAAAAACTTTTCCCAAGGTCTATAGGAGCATACCAAAGATTTCACAAAACGATATTTATTTTCATAAATTGCCCTGCTTTATCTTTAAGAAAGACCCAAGGACAGGTTACATCATTAGAAGACAGTACTGGAAGTGAGAAACGGTAAGTACACACAGACAGACGAAAAGGGAGGTGAGAGGGTGAGAGTTTTGATAGCAGTGAAATTGATACTGGCAGACTGGCAGGCCGTTCTCTATGTTTCATCATTCCACGAAAGCCATCAAGTGAGTTTTGATGATCAGAGGAGGAGGAGGAGGAAGAAGGGGAGACGTCTCGGAGGCAAGCCACCTCACCTGGGCAAGACAGGAGGCTGTGGACTCAGCGCTTCTGTCCTCTTCCCCGGTCCGAAACTCTTGCCGTGGGAGTGGCAGGAACCTTTGCCCATATGTGGGCACAGCCGCCTTCACTGAGCCAGAAGCTGCTTTTATAGGCCTGGCTCAAAGGCAGAGACGGGCATGCAGTGAGAAGCCCTCCCTTCCGGGGATTCAGCCCAGAGATAAAGCCAAAGCGCCTTGTGCCGGATTGTGGAGGAAGTGGCTTGCATTTCTGGGAGAGTAAAAACCCACTGGTAACTAGCCATTTCTGAGTAGATCCACCTTCCCACCATGCTGTCTTCTTCAAGAAAAAGAGAGGACAAGGCCCATGTCCTTTCCTCACCCCCAAAATGAGAAAAATTATGCTTTCCTAAACCATTGCTAGCCAATGTTTAGATTCGGATGCCTGCGGGGAGTGAAGCCCCAGGCACTCCATCTTGGTTACGGGCGCTATAGAAACATAAGACCTTTCTCCATTCAGAATGCTAGTGGGATTTGGAATAAATGAGGGTAACATGGTCCATGTGCAGAGCGCTCATCTCCAGCTCTGAACCCAGAATCTGGTTTTGGTGGCAGGTGACTCAGCTCTGGATTCTCTGATAAAACCATAAAGGGACAGAGCGTCGGATCTAGACCGTTGGTTTCATCTCGAGTCACGCGTGAACAGAATGTCCTTGGGAGTATGACTCACCGCCCCAACGCCCTCAAAGTGCCGTATTTTCACAATCTGCAAATTATAATCTGCCAAGTAGAAATAAACAGACGGCACCTTCTGGGAAGTCTGCTCTGTCCATGCTCAGAGACACTTTTGGTTCATTTAAAAAGCACCATCGGTCAGCCCTGGCATCAGAAAGGATAGTTCTGGGCAAAATTAAAGCTCTAGAATAGAAACGGGCTATGATTCAAGGCCAGCAGGAAGGAAACCTTTGCAGAATTTCTGAAGAATGGTTTTGCATCGGCCGGTGTCTCAATGGAAGGTGGAAATGTTGAAACGGAGGCTGTCCTACTTTGAGCACATTCTGAGAAGACAAGATTCTCTGGAAAAGTCAATCATGTCGGGAAGGGCGGAAGGGGGCAGGAAAAGAGGAAGGCACCGAAGGGAGAGACAAGATTCTCTGGAAAAGGCAATCATGTCGGGAAGGGCGGAAGGAAGCAGGAAAAGAGGAAGGCACTGAAGGGATTGGCCCTCGCCTTGTCTTGTGGCAGACAGTTCCACATGGCAGTACGGCATCACTTTTCCATGCACCGTCTTCCAAAGGGAGATGCTCCCTAAACCCAGTTACCAATTTGCAGTTAACTCTATGATCAAAGAAATGCTCTTGGCACATGCCCAGCTAAAATGTTATTTTATTTTATTTTATTTTATTTTATTTTATTGCAAAGGGGTATGGGTAAAATTGAAATGGGAAATCCTTTGGCCAAGCTTTCTGAAACACTGACTTTCTGAAACTCTCCCATAGCTAGAAATTTCCCTTGTGCAGGGTGGGGAGCACCACAGAAGCATCCAGAGCGTTTGTGACAATCAACAGGTGAAGATTCCTGTACCGGGGAGGTGCCTATTGAGTGTCAGGCTCTGGAGGCTCAAATCTCTGTTTGCCCCTGAAAATTCAGCGGTGGTAGATGGGTGGCCATTCCTGTTCGCCACTCCTTGAACATCTCCCATCAGGGCTGCAGTAGAGTGTTATGACGGCACAGAACGATAGCAACCTCTGGAAAAATCACCAAGATAATTCTATTTGTCGACATAAGGAAAACCCCGGGGAATTTCAATGTCTCCCGAATGGTTTAAAATTAATTCAGCATTTCATTTGATTTCAATTTAAAACGTGGATTTTAAATGGTCCGACCGCCGC